TTACTACTGAAAGTCTTTACTTAAGTCTAAGTACCCATTTACTACTGAGAGTCTTTACTTAAGTTTAAGTATCCATATACTACTGAAAGTATTTACTTAAGTTTAAGTACCCATTTACTACTGAGAGTCTTTACTTAAGTTTAAATATCCATATACTACTGAGAGTCTTTACTTAAGTTTAAGTATCCATTTTATACTTAAAGTATTTACTTAAGTTTAAGTACCCATTTACTACTGTGAGTCTTTACTTAAGTTTAAGTACCCATTTACTACTGAGAGTCTTTACTTAAGTTTAAGTACACATTTACTACTGAAAGTCTTTACTTAAGTCTCAAGTACACATATACTACTGAAAGCTATTTACTTAAGTTTAAGTACCCATTTACTACTGAGAGTCTTTACTTAAGTTTAAGTACCCATTTACTACTGAGAGTCTTTACTTAAGTTTAAGTACCCATTTACTACTGAGAGTCTTTACTTAAGTCTCAAGTACACATACCGTATTGCCTCTAATTAAAGCTTCCTCTCTAATTATGCCCCCCCCCCCGGTATTTTTATAAAGCTTAACTTGTGTAACAGCAATACTAATACGACATATACTGTAATCCACTTTTATTACCGTAATTTTGATTTAAAAAAAAAGACAAAACAAACCTACACACACACACTTATTAGTATTGAAATCAATAAATCACATGTGAACAATTAGCGCCCCCCCCCCTTTTGTAGTCTGTAACGTCCCCGGAGGGCGTTAATTAAGTGCAATAGAGTATACTATTATGAGTCCTTACTTTTTAAGTCTCACTGTTTTTTTACACAGTGAAGTCGTCTACTAGTGGTTTTGACATTCTTTAACGAAAAACTTTTTATAAACATGACAAAATTTATACAGTATATTTACAACTTTTAAAAATAGTATAATAATAACAAGTGTGATCCAATTGTTAGTATAGCGCACACTAAAAATCTGACTATCTAGATTTAATACAATAAACTCTAGTCCACCATCACGTTGACTACAAATAATACAGCATGCCGATTCGCCCACACCTGTATTCTCCTTTATCTCATTTTTCACCAGCTATGATTTTCGTGATATTTTCAAAAAAATCATACGGTGACTCGAATCGAAAATAATGATTAAATTGCGTGACATCTAGCGGTAATACAATTTTTCAACTCTTCGTATGTACTTGTAAATTTGGAGGAGAAAAGCTTCTAATCTGATGTTTGAGAAACAAAGAAATACTTCTCATCTGTTTTTTCTCATTTCACTCTCATCATATATTAGGAATTTTCCCTAGAGCCATGAATTATGTAGATATCCACGAGCCAACATATACTTTCGTGCTTTCTGTGGCCCAGAAGGATTCATAAATCTTTATGGATTTGACAGTATTATAGAGAATCTCGGAGGTTCGTTCGCGTATCTTTATTTTTGACCAAATAACGTGTAATGTTATCGAACTCGGATTTTATTTTATTTTTGTACTTTTGAAAATTACGCTCTTCGAAAGCAATATATTTATTATAAATTATAATTGGAAAACTTTTGAGATTGTCGCAGTTTAAAAGCAATTTTTGTTAAACTGTTTTACGAAATCAGATGTAGACGCTGTCGCGTAGCTCAAACTGCCAAACTACTTGCGTTGTCATAGACGTTTCCCAATATCATTGATTGTCACCCGGCTTAATGAAAATTGTATTTCTGTCTGATTTTGCTCTGTATCAAGCAGTTTCGCAGGGATCAAATTCAAAGTAATGAGAAATGCTTATATGTATGAAATCGCTCAATCGCATACATTTATATATGTATGAATAGGCCTAACAACAGAAAAATGCAAGTAAATCTAGTTGTATTATTACGGTTAAAATACATAGCTACAAGTATTATAAATAAATAAAGGGTAAGAGTTGTAACAGCAGGCTAGTTGTATTATTACGGTTAAAATACATAGCTACAAGTATTATAAATAAATAAAGGGTAAGAGTTGTAACAGCAGGCACTGTTTTTTGCTAGAGTCTGGACGGCCTGTGAGTTACATAACTGTAAAACTATTTAAGAAAAAACACCAAAATATTTGAGATCGTTAAAAAACGTATACCTGCAGACAGTGTGCATAGAGTAAGTAAAGTTATGTTTGTTTAAATAAACCATTGATATTAACTTGCAATGGCGTGTATATTGTTCGGAAGTTTCTGAATACTTAAACAGCACCTGAGACTTACAGATGTTCATGTGGTCTGAATGAAAGTGTAAACTGGAAAGAAAGTAGAGAAAACAATTAAAACTTTCCAACAAAAAAAAAAATACAAGCAGTTTGAAGATTCTGAAATATGAGTTGAAAAGGAAATTAAATGTTTTTTTTTATTGTAAAAGCTTTACGTTTTGAGATGTTATTGATTTCTAAGTATTGAATGGACAGTTATTTTGTTGGAATGTAAAGACTGAACTCTGTTTAAAATTATTTCAAGATTATGTTTTACATTTGTTTCCAGTTCACAATCGCCACCACTACTCCATCTTTATCCGGAACTGTAAGCTGATTCTTCTTCTGCGACGGGAGTTCTATCAGGA